TTTAGTTTTGAAACTTTAATTCAGACTCTTTAATATGCAAATTCATCTTAGTAGAACAACACAATGATGTATGAAGGTAATGTACAAATAACTTTTTATTCATTTATAATGTAATAAAAGTATAACCAATGGTCTACTGTAAAGTAAAGCTAGGAAGGCTCCACCATAATAATCATGAATTTCTATCCCCATAGAATATAAATTTAAATAAGATTACTTACTTTAGTCTTTATCTTCAAACTCCAGGATCTTCTTTAAGATTTAAAAAGATAATGATCACCAAAATAAGATTAATCATTTCCTTTCGGAACTTCTATATTTATAAGAAATTAACTTAAATATTTTCATAACTCCTAACACTGTAAAATGCAATCTAGGTATTCAAGAATCTAGAACTTTTACATTTACACATTTATATTTGCATCTTCACCGAGATACATTCTACTTTCTATAGCAATATAATAGAATAATGTAGAAAATATAGAAATATAATGTAATGTAGGTGTATGTGTATAAAATATAACACGACCTAAGAGCCTATTGTGGCCCTAAAGAGCCTGAGGTGCACCAACAGGAATATAAACATGATATCATAAATATAGAAAGTAAACACATAAAGAATGAATACCCCCTATGTAAGGTACTCTAAAAAAAAAACCACACTAACGTCATAGCCTAGGCTAGAGTCAATAGCCTAATAAAACAATTTAAATTGTGTGTAATAAGTTGTATAGTTTGGATAGGTTCTAAGTTTGTTATTATTTAATATTGTCTACTATTTTATTTTAATTTATTTCATATCAAAGGGAATTTTATTTCAAATTAAATTTTATTACTTAATAATTTATAATTTATTATAAAGATATATTTTAAATGTTAGAATTGTTTATTTTAGGTTTTAAAAAACATATGCTCAAAAATCCGTAAGTGCGAGGAGAAATTGCTCAATAAGTCCTAGAGGATCAAATTTTTAACGCATTTGATCTCCTTTTGGGGGATCAAATCCAATGCATAGAGTCCTTTATTTTATTTAGTTGTTTAAACAATTTAGGTTTTAAAGAATATTGTCAATTGATCACTTCAAATGAAATATCCAAGATTCATAATTATAAAGCATGTGATTCTTCCTAAGGGATCAAATTAAATGCATAGAGTCATTTATTTTATTTATCATATTTATCTAGCTTAATATATTTTTTATTATTTATTTAATTTAAGTTATATTTTAGGTTTATGAATTTTTAAATCAATTTTAATTTATACTAATTATTGTCTGATCTTCATTTATTTAGTTGATTAATTTCTAAATATTTAGGATTCATTTTTGAATTTTTAGGATTTAATTGAATTTTCTTTATTATTTTGTTTTCTTAATTAATTAGGTTGGTCACTAAGCTTGCACACCAATACACCATAAACTACCATGAACTAGTGCTTTATGGATTTAATTGAATTTTCTTTATACTTTAAATAAATGTTTTAAGCTAAACCATTAGCCGCCACCATTGCGCCCGCCACCACGTCAACCTTTGACACGCCATGCATCACTGTGAGGTTGGAACCCATTGAATGGAAGCCTTTGGGACACTTCTCCACGTCAATTCGACTCACATGCTATTAATCCCGCATGGTTCAAATCAATGGCTGAGATCATATTGGATGAATGCTCTTCCTTACTGCCATTTGATTCAGTCTAATGGATTATGTCATTTGACTAGATTTGGGCCATCTGATCGGATACAAGAATTATTAGATGGCTCAAGATTCTTCCTATTCATTTAGAATAAATTTTGAACTGAATTAAAGAAGTCTTTAAACATTTAATTACTAGACCAAGCTTAATGAAGCTTTAGGTAGGGATTCTAGGCCATTTAATTCCATATTCCATAAAGTTTGGAGGCTAAAAAATGAAACATATTAAAAAAAATTTGTATAACATATCAAAGCTATTTAAAATCTAGATCTAGGATTAGGGTTTGGAATTTACCTCTAACTAGTGGAACAATTTGCTTGAATTTTTGTTGGACTCCTTGGAAGCTTATCTTGATTATCCTTGAAGACTTTAGCATCGGAGAAGCTTTTGTAACTCTTGGCCACCTTTGGAACTCGACACCCAATGGACCATGGAGCTTGTGAAGGCGTATGTAGATTGTGGGGAGCTCTAGGGAGGTAATACAAATAAAAAATCTAACCATTATTTCACAAAATAAGGGGTTGTTTATAGAAGACAGAAAATGACATGATAATTCAAATTCCTTACCACCTAGCCCTTCCCATCCACCAATTCAATTGGAGACTTTCTAATAAGAGCTAGGAAACTCAATCAAAAAGTTAGAGTCCATGTAATTTGTCTTCAATGGAGTTAAGCTTGAACCCTACTTACAAATGGTTTATTTTTATGAATCCCTCCACGTAAGCCCTCCACATGGTTGGAGTTGACTAGGATAGTAGAAAGGAACATTTAAGAATGGAATTCAATTATTTTTTGGGTTTAATTTGGGTGGGCATTGATTAGTCCAAATAATTTTGGTTTTTAATGCATTGGGTTAACCCAATTAGTTATCCTTGTTCAACCCAAGGGCTATGCTGATTGGGTTTGGTGCATAGGGTTCAGGACACCTAATGCAAGTGTTTATGCAATTTAATTTCATAAGTTTTTGTATTTAGCTCAAGAAAACCCTTTTGGGTTTGTTTGGGTCAAGTCATGTACCTAGCACAAATGGCCCCAAGTGCTATTTTTTTTATGAACCTTAGGGACCTAATTACCAGCCCCTAGGGGTTCAGGCATCTTGGTTTAGTCTAAATACATAAATTTTAAATTTAGAGGCATTAGGGGTAGTTTCATCAACCATGATTGACATGGTCAACTAGGTTTGACAAAAGGTTGGGTTTGGATCCAACTCATTCCAAATGAAATTTATATCTTACTGAAGGAGGTTTCAAGCCATTATTTGGTCATGATAATTAAAATGCAATTTTTAAAGCTAAAGGGGTCCTTTGATAAACTTAGGTTTATTTGGTCAACCAGGCTTGACTAGGTCTTAGGTCTAGGTCTAATCCACTCCCAATTTGATTTGAGTTTATTAGAAGTGGTCATGGGTCATGGCATGGCTGAGATAAGAGAGGTTTATTCAAAAGTTCAATTTTAGGTTTTTTTTAGGATTTAAGGTTTCGTGGTCAACTATGGTCCACCAAGGGTTTAGGAGAATACAAATCAATTTGAAAATTATTATGAACATGTTTGATGGCTTTCTAAAGCTTCCAAAGATAGTTTTTAATAATGTGCCATGTCCAATTGCATGGCCAGAAATATTTAGAGGTTTTATAAGCTTGGCAATGCTTTGTGGTCTATGGTTTTGAAAGACATAGAAGCCTACAAAATTGTTAGGTGGACTATATGGAAATTTCTAATTAATACAAAAATGATTAAATACCATTCCATAACTTTCAATAAAGGTTTTTAATCAGTTGAAAATTCCCCTAAAAAGAAGAAAATCCAAAAGCTTTAGGGTCTGTTTTTGGACATTGGATTTTCAAATTGGCTTTCAATTTAAGGTTAAATATAGGATTGATTTAGGAAAGATTGACGGAAGATTTTTTATTTTAAAATGCTTGAATCAATTATTATCATTGAATGTTTATTAGTTATTCAGTGATTGATCAAATGAAAATTAATAGTAATTTTTATATGAATGATGTAGAGACTTGATGATTGAACACCATACTGAAGTATAGTGTGGAATTGGATTTTAGTTATGAAATTTAATTTAAGGCTTTGAAGATCATGATTGGAACTTTAATTTACGATTTTTACCTCACAAGAAAAAAAAAATGAGATCAACATTTCCTATCGTGCATAGACATATAATGGATAAGACTCTGGGATCGTTATGAAGATAAAATAATTATAGTGAAGTGGATCTTCATTAGAAACTCCATTCAGTTGATAGAGATGAGGAGATACATATGCTCTGATCCACAATAATATAATTGGAGATTAGTCAATGTAAGCACGAAATCTTAGCTATCACTTGTTCAGGAATATTAAACATAGAAAATTCTTCTGTTTTTCTTAACTACTCACTTATATTAGCACAATATCTTAAATTTTATGAATAAATAAATTAAGCAATTCATCATAGTAGCAATAGAGTGATATTTAGATTATCCTTATCCTTATGACAATGATACTCACTAGTGGGTCGGGTTCCGAACTTGCAAAAAGCCACATTATTTTACTTCATATGTAACATGAAGTTACATAGCTTTTAGTGAACATCCTTGATTTATATAGAGTGCGCCATTGCCAGAGATAGTGGTGTATTATCTATTTATTTACATTATAAGAATTAAAGAAAAATATTTCTAATTTACTCTTACCTTCATTCTCGTTTAGCTTATTTGTGTTTGTATGGTTATTTGTTGTTGGTGCTGTTATATTTCTAAATTATCACTTATTAAATTATGTTATAATTTTCAATTTTATATGGATTTTATTATTGTATGCATAATATATCTTAATTAGGAGAATAATTATTTGATCCAGAAATAAAAAAAATTTATTAAAAAATCAGAAAAGTTAGAAAAAAAAAAAAAGACTTAGAAATAATTGACCCAAATCATGAGAATGACCAGCCTAGACCTTTAAGAGATTATGCAAACCAATTAGTAGATGGTATTCTTCAAAGCATTAGTAGACCTAGCATTCAAGCTTATTATTTTGATTATAAATCCATTATTATTCAGATGGCGTAAAACTTACAGTATAAGGGAACTCCTATTAAGGATCCAAACTTACATAGTACTTATTTCTTAAAAATTTATGTAATATTTAAGTATAATAGAGTCTCTAATAATGTTGTTAGACTTTAATTGCTCCAATTTTACATAAGAGACAAAGCAAAGATGTGGTTGAATTTCTTACCCTTAGGCTCCATTACTACTTAGAATGATTTGGCCAATAAGTTTCTAGCAAAATGTTTCCCTCCATCTAAATAGCTAAGCTTAGGAAGAATATCAAAACTCTCACTCATGTAGATAGGGAATCTATCTATGAAGCTTGGGAAAGGTTTAAGTAGTTTCTTAGAAAGTTCCCACATCATAGATTGCTAGATTGGTTGAATATCTAGTCTTTTTAAAATTTGGTTAATAAGATCCCTTAGGTCTATCATTGATTATACAGTTGGAGGTTAATTAATGTCTAAGCCCTTTGATGAAGATTATGCTTTAATTGAAGATATTACCACTAATAACTTCTAATTTCCTTAAAAAAGAGTCAATCTTAGGAAAGTTGTTACTCTTTGTGAGTATGATATTTTATTTATCCTTACTGCCCAAGTAATTGCCTTTTGTAAGAAGTTAGATAATCTTAGATTTACTACTACTCAAGGAGTGCCAACGTTAGTGTATGAGGGTCTTTTTGGATCACCCAATGGCCCTACTTTCATTAGATTAGAATCTTTAAATACTATTAATAATAAATATAATAACCCTTACCCTAATACATACAACCCTAGTTAGAGGAATCACCCTACTTTTTAATAGAATAATAATCAAAATGGAGATAATGATTAGAATAATAGCCAATCTAACCAAATAGGGAAATAGAATCATTCTCAACAAAATTTTGGAAATCCTAGGCCTAATTATCCTCTAAGATTTAATGCAAGCAACCAATATAAGGATATGAATCCTTTTATAGAATACTTAATGTTGCAGAAGGGGACCCAACTTCAAAGCTAAGCTACTTCCATTAGCAATATAGAAAATCAATTAGCAAAATTGTCTAATTACCTAAACAATAGACTCCAAGAACCTTTCCTATCAATACTATGGTTAAACCTAAGGATAAGGGTAAGGAGCAGTGTAAGGAAATAAAGTTGAGGAGTGGTAAGGAGTTAGAGGAGGCAATTAGGGAGAAGGATAAATTGGAGGAGGAGAAGCCTGAGAAAGCATTTGTAGAATTCACCCAACCTATAGAACAATCTAAGATAGAGGAGAAAGAAGAGAAGCCCATAAGGAAGGTTATAGAGAAAACCACCATTTTCCCAAAAATGTTTTATATAAAACAAAGATAGGCAATTCTTTATATTTCTAGAAGTGTTTAAAAAATAGACATCAATATTCCATTTATAGAAGCTTTAGAGAAAATTCCTATCTACATTAAATTCATAAAGAGTACCCATAGCAAGAAGAGGAAGTTAGGAGACTTTGAAATGTTGTTCTGTTTGAAGAGTATCATGTAATCCAATAAAAGAAACTCCCTTAAAAGCTTAAAGACTTTGGTATTTTTACTATTTCTAGCGTTCTAGGGGATAAATTTTATGGGAGAGTATTATGTGACTTAGGAGCGAGTAATAATCTTATTCCCCATTTAATATTCAAGAGACATGACTTAAGAGATGTTCAATATACCACAATCACCATTCAATTTACATATCATTCATTTACATATCTTAGGGGGTGATATAGAATGTTTTAGTGAAAGTTGATAAGTTTATCTTCCATATTGAGATTATTATCTTATACATAGAAAAATCTAGGATGAGAAAAATTATCTTTGGTAGACCTTTTCGAGCCACTAGAAGAGTCATGATAGATTTGTAAAAGGGGGAATTAACTATTAGTGTGCAAGATCAAACGGTGACATTTAATTTTTTTGAAGTTTATGTAATTCCCAAAAGATGATGGTGAGGATCAATGTTATAGAGTGGATTTGGTGGATGATTATGTGGAGGATTTTATGAATGTGATATTGATTGATTATTCATTGGAGCATTCATTTCCTGAGTATGATAACAAGGAGATTAAAGAAGATATTATTCATGTGATAGTCGATATCCCTATAAATTTTAAGGAAATATATGAGCTATTAGATATATATAAGGAAGTTATTGAAACCAACTATCTTAAAAGCACTAGTTCTTGAGTGAATGCCTTGCCTTCCCATTTGAAATATGTATTTTTAGGAGATGGATCAACCTTAAAATTTATTATTTTTGCTGAGTTAGAAATAGACCAAGTTGATTTAGGTTCTTAAAATATATAAGAAAGCACTTAGTTGGATAATACCTAATTCTAATGGAATTAGTCCATCTGTGTACATGCATAATACATTCATGTAAGAGGACCCCAACCAAAGGATGACCCACAAAGAAAATTGAACCTTACCATGAAGAAGTTTGAAAAGAAAAAAATACTCAAATGCCTTGATGCAACTATTATTTATCCAATTTTTTATAGTGCTTGCTTCAACCCCATTGATTGTGTGCTTAAGAAGGGGGGTTTAATACTAGTAATCAATGCCAAAAAATGAATTAATTCTGGCTAGAATAGAAAAAATATGGATGTTATATTTATACTATAAGAAGCAAAATAAATCTAATAGGAAGGATCATTTTTCTTTGCCATTCATTGATCATATGATTAATAGATTAGTAGGACACCCATTCTGTTTCTTCTCAGATGGCTACTTAGGGTATCATCAAATTCTTATAGTACCAGAGGATCAAGACAAAGCCACCTTCACTAACCCACATGGTACCTTTACCTTTAGGACAATGCCTTTTAGACTTTGTAATACTCCTACTACTTTTTAGAGGTGTATGATATCTTTTTTTATACTTCAATGAGCAAGGTTTTGAGATTTTTAGGGATTACTTTTCTTTATTTGGTATTCATTTGATTCTTATTTCAAGCATTTATATATTGTTTTAAAAAGATGTGAAGAGTTAAATTTAGTACTAAATTGGAAGAAGTGTCACTTTCTGGTTAAAAAAGAATTGTGTTAGGTCACAAGATTTTTTTTTTTATATTCGGTCACAAGATTTCTAAAAGAGGCTTATAGGTGGATAGGGATATAGTTTAGGTAATTAAAAAGCTAACAACACCCATTTCTATTAAGGAAGTTAGAAGCTTCTTAAGATATTTTGGTTTTTATAGAAGATTAATTAGGGAATTTTCAAAACTTACTAAGCCATTTTGTAATTTTCTTGAAAAGAATGTCCCTTTTGATTTCAATGATGAATGTCTTGATGCTTTTAATGTTTTGAAATAGAATTTGATCACTACACTTATTATTATTGCACCTGATTAGGCACTTCATTTTGAAATCATGTATGACACTAGTGATTTGTTATTGGGGTGGTCTTAGGGAAAATAATAAATAGAAAGTTTTATCTCATATGCTATGATAGTAGAACATTGAATACTGCACAAGTTAAGTATATTACAAGCAGAGGCCTTAGGGAAGCCTAGTGAGGGGCAGCTCTTTATAGTCTATTCTCTTTATAATCAAGCAGGGGCCTTATGAGAGCCTAGGGAGGTGCAACCCTTTCCCATCTTTGCACTTACTAAGAATAAAATTTTATCATTTAAGACTACTACTATGGAACCTGGTGAGGAAAGCTTTGAGCTCCATTGTACTAGGTATTACATTAGGAGATCTTGTGTATGATCTAAGGGACCAATTTCCAAGCATTAAAAGCTATATCACTACAAAAAAATAAAGAATTACCGACAATTTTTTCCTGCGGTTTCAAAAAATATAGGAGGTTTTCTGGCGGTTAGTAAACCACTGGTATAAACATGTTAGGAAACGATTTCTGTCATTCCGTTTCTAGCGAAATAGTAAAATACTTGTTACTGTGCGGCATAAACACCTAAGCTTACCAGCGGCTTTTCGACGGCATAAACGGTCGGATTTCATTATCGAAATAGTAAAATACTTGTTCAAACCACCTATTACAAATTTAGGAGAAAAAAAATCAAACCTAAATTCGGTTCGAGACTGTTGCCACGGTTTTCGCGAGTAGATTGCGGGCGTGCTCGGCTGCTGGAGTGAGGGCAAGATCGTCGCCTGGAGAGAGGTTTTCAGCGGCCGGATTACTGTGCAGCCATTCGGAGGCATGATCCCGAGCAACATGAGAGTGGAGGCAAGCAAGCATCTGCAGCTGTGGGCTCCAAAAATTCAGCCCCGGCCTCCGCTCGCTTTTCTTTTTATTCGGAGAGGGAGTTTTAACTGATAAGTTCTGAGGTAAATTTTGGAAGGCAAATGGATTTGTAGATTACACACTACCCAGAGGTTTCACCCTTATTTGGTGAGGACTTTATGATCTGAGTTCTGGTTTCCTATAGGCGCAAGCCCTTATAATTAATTACCTCTCTCAATCACGAGAGAGAACTTTCGATTAAGGCTAGTCATCAATCAGATACATAGAGAATACATGTTATCTGGCATATAGTAACATAAATGGGTTTGGATTGGAAAGATTGGATATTTGGGAATTTGGGGTTGAAATATTTAGGAAGTTTGGAAAATTTGATATTTAAAATAAAAACTTCACCATCTTGCACTTAAAGCGGATGGTGGGGGAATGGATGATGGATCCGATCAAGATCCCATGGTTCTGTCATCTTGGGCCATCGTGGTCCCTGGTCTACTTAGTCAGAGGAGGTAGTCGACCCAACCTGACAGAAGGATCCTTATCAGCAGCCATGGGTTGCTTCTTCTAAGGGGACCTTGTAGACCTGTGTTGGATATTTGTCTAAGGGGACAAATTTGAATCCACCTTAGCTAACAGAGGGCTTTGTGCCCTATAAATTATATCCAATTGATTCATATCTCAAGGATGTGATGCCAATAAGAAGCATATTGGCTCTAGCCATAACCGGTATATCGGGGTTCCATTTGGCGGCAAAACCACTCAGTTCAGAGGGCCCCAAGTCATAACCGTTTATCCTGCGGTGCCATTTGGTGGCAAAATTGCCGGTTAGAGGACACGTACCACGTCCTTACTAGCAGGGGATTGTTTGAGAAAGAATCCTAGTGATATTTTCGACTTAGACATTAGCTCTTTGTGAGCTGAAGTAAATTTTGATTTGTCTATCCCGGTAAACTGTTGTGGAGGTTGGATGAATTTTGATTTAAGTGTGAATGGATTTATTTCAATTTTAAATATTTTTTGGATTTTGATGATTTTGGTATTTTTTTGGGTTTTTAGATTTTGGTGCTTGAAAAGCATTTGAAATTGTTTGTGAACCCCTCCGGTTGAGATTTATTGTTCGACGCAGCCATCATCGGGGTGTTAGTAACTCTGTCTGCCTGTC